CTCTCATTCTTGACCAGCCATGGAACCCCAGTGCCAAAATAAAATACAAAAGCCAGCACCTTAAAAATATGACACACACCACCCCCCCAAAAAACCCACAAAAACAGCTATGTCCAAAATTCAATTACAGTTAATTGTAATTCAACTACAATTAATTCCCTTTATTTACTATGCCTTCTTGATTTTGAAATGTGTAAGTCTAGTCATTGGTCATAATTAATACTATTAGAACTTATAACTTTGTCAAGGTCTGAAAAGCCTAAGCATCCATATATGAAGTGTCAACTACCCAGGCTTAGTTTCTCCATTGGCCAGTTGCCCCTCTTTTGTGATCTTCTCTTGTCCAAGTGTAATACTTTCTTTTGTTTTTCAGATACTATGTGATATTGACATTATTGATATCTTTTTTCCCCTTCATCTGACTTAAACCTCCTTAAGCATATTTATCTTTGTTTCCTGAATGCATGGCATATATAGGAGCTCAGTAAATGGGTGTTGAATGGAACTGACCTAGCCCCAGTTAAAATGTGTCTTCTCACTGTGTGGAGCCCCACCTCACACTCTGGCTCCCAGGAAAGCAGTGAATCTTGTGACAGCATAGTGAATTAGTTGTCAGCACAGGCCTTTGTGCATCCCTTGAGCCCAGGAATACAGGCAGCTGTCTGACAATGTCCTCTGCACAGTAATGGGATGGAAACCCAACCGTACATATCATGGATTTGGTGGGGGAATGAGACAGAAGAAAAAGCAAACTAAACTGCAAATATAACACACTTAGTTATTTCTCTATGTGGGTTTTTGAAAAAGGCTGCAGTAACATACTCTGTTGTCCAAATGTAAGTCCTTAGAAAGTTCATGAATTAATTTTTAAAATGATACCCAGAGGAATATACTGTCTTAATCTTCATAGTACTTTTTACAATACTAATTTCTATTTTGTTTACACAGTGTGCACAATACAGAAAATGCCACTGAAATAGTTTTTTATTTACATATTTTAGAAACTTCTTCTTTTAAAGAAAAGGCCAAAATCATGGGGAACGTGGTAGGGGGAAGGTTTGGGGGAAATTAAGAAAATTTCTCATTTTGTATTTGAAATTTTAAAGAATGATAAATGAATTCAGGATGTTAGTACAGAAGTATGGCACATTGAACTAAGCATTTGAAGAACTTCTTTGCCATTTTTGCCATTAAATAGGTATATGATCTTGGAAAGATCATTTAAGCTCAGTTTTTTTATCTGTGAAATGAATATATAAGCACATCTGTCAGAGGCAGAGAGTGTATGTGTGTTAAGTACACATTTTATGTAACAGTTCTTTGTTACAGGAGGAAATTAGGAGAAAACTAAATCTTACTACCACAGAAATTAAAATAAGGGCTCCTACTGTTAGATCATATCAGTTTTAAAATGACTTCAGAGAACTTTAGCCCTCTCCCTTTTAAAGAGTAAAAACTTCACTCAAAGAGGCCTGTGGCCTGATTCAGATTCAAAGGAAAAAATTCTTGTTCAGGAAGGAAGGTGTAATTATAGCAAGTCTAGAAGGGTTAGCTGATTCCCCCTTGGAAATTCCTTGGGCAGTAATTCTGACCTTGCCTGAGGATTATAAGGGAGAATATTATTATGATCGGCTCTGGAATAGGAATGTGCTTAAGAAGCACATTTCAGAAGTGCCTTACTCCTCCTACCAGAGACCTCCAGAGATTTCCCGAAACCTCAGAGTCTGGGGCATCTGCTTATAACTGAGTCAGAATTTTGAGTGTTATTTTTGTGGTAAGTTAAATATTTCAGTACAGTTAATTAGTCATATTTTAATTAGACCTAATTCAGGGCTGATTTTTTTTTTTTTCAGAATATCCTACCTGTTTGCACCTGTAGCACCTATTTTGGGAGGAAGTATTATAATTTAGATCGTGAATTTTGAGTTTCCTATTTTGAATATATTTCCAGGCTTTCTGAAATGCTATCTGCAGGAAGGTTAAATTCAAGCCTACCCAGCATGAGAGCCCATCTGGATTACGTGTAGCAATAGAGAGCCATAGCTCCCTGAGGTTTATGATAAGCCTCTGTCCGAAGCCCAAGGCCAAATATGCCCCAGGAACCCAAAAGTCCAGCTGGCTTGTTTCTCTCCTGGGATGGCCCTCTGCTATGGATCTTACCTTGCTTACCTGGGGCTTTAAGGACTTACCCACCTCCAGCCAGGACCTTCTCACTAGGGACCTTCCCCAGCCCCTGGCTGTATGTAGCTCTGCTGCCTGGATTCTCCCCAGCCTCACAACTTGCAGTGTTGTACTGTCTAGAGACTCCTGTTGCCATGCCTCACACTCAGGACAGACTTTCTGGTGCTATAAAGCCATCCCAGATCAACCCAAGTTAATCACATCTGCATGAACACTGTGATTTGATCTGCTGGCCCTCCCTGAGGGAACCTGCACATAGCTCACTTATCTGCCTGGCCATTCTGGGTTTTGTCTCCTGGGGGCAGGTGCTGCTGGAATCCCAGTGTGCACCAATACCAGCTAGAGAGGGTTCCTACTCCAGTCAGCCCAGCACCCTCACACATTCTCCAGGGACGTAAAAGGTTATTATGGAAAAAGATGTCTAAATGTTCTCTGCCTCCACTGAGGATAAACTCAGAGGAAACTGTGAGTAATGTATCCACAACAAGTACTTTAATACTGTGACACAGGTTTGTCATCTGCAGAACAATGGTTATGGCACCAGCCACATGCACCAAGATTGGCGGGTTCAAACCCTGCTTGGGCCAGCTAAACAGCAATGACAACCGCAACAAAAAAATAGCCGGGCTTTGTGGTGGACATCTGTAGTCCCAGCTTCTTGGGACGCTGAGGCAAGAGAATCACTAAAGCACAAGAGTTTGAAGTTGCTGTGACTGGGACACGATGGCACTCTACCAAGTACAACAACAAAAAAATATTGTGGCACAAAATCATTAGTAGGCAAAGTGAGATATAGTTTGCTCTGTTGAGTGGTACCCCCCAACTTGGGGTCGGGTGCAGTGGTTCACACCTGTAATTCCAGCACTGTGGGAGGCCAAGGTGGGAGGATCACCTGATCTCAGGAGTTTGAGACCAGCCTAAGGCAGAGCAAAGACCCCCATCTCTAAAAATGGCCAGGATTGTGGAAGGCACCTATAGTCCCAGCTACTCGGGAGGGTGAGGCAAGAGAATCACTTGAGCCCAAGCGTTTGAGGGTTCTGTGAGCTATGATGCCATGGCACTCTACCAAGGGTGATGAAGTGAAACTCTGTCTTTTTTTTTTTTTTT